CCGGAAGCACGAGGGGACTTTCTCTTCTATTTTCACTGTGCGAACATAGTAAAGTTCCTTGGAGGTAAAACTCGACCAAAAGTTTTGGGAGAGTATCCAAATCATAAAAGGATATGAGATCCACTGAACTGGAGTGTAGGGTACACTACACCTGGTGGCTTAGCGAAACGCTACAAGTACATTCTTTGTGTAAACTGAGCATGTTGATGTTTATAATTTAATTTATTTTATTTTTTTTTAATTGGTTCACAGACGTGAGTCTCAGTTACTGTCTTACTCCAGGCATGGGAAGAGTAGAATGGCGGTGGCACGATCTCAACACTCATTGCAAGCGTCCGCCTCCTCATCGGGTCACTAATTTTAAGGCCTATTTTAATGTATCTGCTTTAGAAATAAGGAAGTTTAGTCTGACCATCAGCCTCTTAAAATAAAATAACTATCACCCATGTTAAAGAGACATTGAAACTACTAATGAGACAGCCTTTAAAATAATCAACCTATTAATATTTAATATTACAGAAATAGAATAAAAACTGCGTCTGTCACTAAATAATTGAGACCCAATACAATTGTTGTATTTTTTGTTTGTTTGTTTGTTTGTTTGTTTGTTTTTGAGACGGAGTCTCGGCTCTGTAGTACCCAGGCGGAGTGCAGTGGCGCGATCTGGCTCTCACCGTAGCTCCGTCTCGCCGGGTTCACAAAAAACCAGCACCATATGCGCAATCTGAGCCATACAGCCTCTTCCATAGTATTTAGTCTGGAGACATAAGGCATACAGAGCGGCGCTTAAATGGTTGAGCAACTAAAATCTAACCTGTCAAACACACCAAGGAAAAGCTATATTGATCTTTAAAATATTGTATTTTGTAGTAGAGATGCAGGGGCAAGGGGATTTATAACAAGCACTGGTATTCGGAAAGAACAGCAAGGATTGAAGTCTTGCGGATCATATCGCGTGTAACCATCGAGATCGCTTTTGTCCATAAAAACCTGGCTCTCAATACCCCCAAAGTGCTGGGATTACAGGCGTGAGCCACCGCACCTGGCCCACAGTGAGTTTTTTTTTTTTTTTTTTTTTTTTTTTTTTTTTTTTGAGATGATCTGGCTCTGTCGCCCACAGGCTGGGAGTGTCTATGTATGAGTCAATTAAACCAGAGAGAAAAAAGACTACACACTAGCAAAGCTCCGCACATCCACTGGAGGTAATAAACAAACCAATTAAACACGTGGAGCTGAGCACTCAGTAACACAGACGTACCGATGAAAGAGAGACAACTGAAACAGGGCGCATCCTGGCGACAACACGCAGCGTCACATTCGTTGAGACTAGTATTTTATGTATATTGATGTTATTTTTGTAGTAAGAAGACGAGGGAGAGAGTTTCACCGTGTTCGGCCAGGATGGATGGTCTCGATCTCCTGACCTCGTGATCCGCCCGTCTCGGCCTCCCAAAGTGCTGGGATTACAGGCTTGAGCCACCGCGCCCGGCCCACAGTGAGTTTTAACCCATGTGTAGGTTCATGTAGCCACCACCATGTTCAGGACACAGAGCAGCTGGCCCTGCGACCGATGGGAGCCTGCCTGGCCTGGGTCCGCAGGCAGCGCAGGACCTGGGTCCCGCAGGCAGCGCAGAGCCTGAGGTGCAGGGCCGGTGGGCTCCGCCCAGATGCGAGGAGCAAGTTGGGCGCATCCCTGCCTGCTCAGACCACCTCTCCGGGGCCAGCGCTGCATGTGGCCCCACGGATCCGGGGCCCGTCCCATCTAATTGGACCAGGGGTGGGGGTGGCCCTTCTGTGGTGGCCACTGGTCTTGGTCTCTTTTGTTCCATTTCCGGAGGAACCATCTGAAAGTTTCTGGGCCTGTGTTTCCCTGCTTAGGCGTTTTGCAGTGGTTCCCTGAGTGAAGGCCAGGGTGAAACCCATCATCTTTGCAGCCCTCCCTCCACCTCCTCCTCTGCCCCTGCCCCTGCCCCTTCCCACCAAGGTTCAGAGCAGACAGGGCTCCCCTGACTCCTGCAGTTTCCCCAGGCATCCCGAGGCTCGGACAGACCCCTGCTGGTTGGGCTCTTACAACACTTAATTTTACCTCCATTTAGCACTGGTTTCACCCCCATGGCACTGTTTGGCAATGGCTCTTTCTCTCTCATGACAGTTTAAGCTAGGTGATACCAGGCATCTTGGCCACTCCTTCCTGCAACCCCATGACGCAGTTCGGGAGGAGCGGCTGGCAGTTCAGGAGTTAGTGTGTGTTCAGGAGCAAGGGCTCCAAGCACTGCATTCCTGAGGCTCCCTGCTGGTTCCACACCTTTGCTCTTGCGGTTACCTTAGATTCTATGCCCTTCCCTTCTCTTTTGCCTAAATCCTACCTGTCTTCTAGAGCTGGTTCAAGGCCAGCTTCCACCAGGGAGCCTACAGTGATTATTCCTTGGAATTCTCGCAGCCTTTCCTAGTCATCAACATTTCCTGGGGTGTGGAGTGCTTTCCTACAGACCAGGTATCCCAAAGGTTGGGCCCAGTCTCCCTTGCAGCAGCCATGCTGGTGGGAGGAAGGAGACAGTGCTGGGAGGGGAGGAGATCCTGAAACCCTGGGGAAGAGATTCGGGGTCAGACTCAGTTAGAAAGTGGGCACCTCTGCCCTGAGGGCAGGGGAAAGATATAGCATCAGGTGCAGGCTGATCCAGCAACTGCAGGGCTTTAATGTGGACTCTGGTGGCAGGAATGCAGGGGCTACGAGGGAATGTGGAGGAGCCCAAGGAAGGGGTGGCTTCCAGGCACTGCAGTGGGAGGCTCTGGGCTTGGGCTCAACCTTGGAAGGAGCCAGCACAGACTCAAGTTCTGATGATGGCATGGTGGTCAGACCAGCTGTCAGTGGTTGGGCTGATCATGGAGGCTGGTCCAAAGGCAGTCAGGCTGAGCAGGGTGCCCACAGGCTGGGCCAGTAACCTCAGCAGGAGACGAGGAGGGGGTTGGCGAGCGCAGCTGCTGCAGAGGCTGGTGCGGAGGGCTGTCTCCTCAACAGCTGGCAGGCAGCCAAGGCTTGGTGCAGGGCATCCAGGATGGCTGCGGGGCTGGGCCTCCCCACTGGAAGGAAACAGCAGGCAGGGAGGGCAGGATCAGTCTGCTTGCCTTCACCCACAGAGCTACTGTCCCTCCTTCCTGAGACCCAGCCACCCTTACCCCCTGTGCCCCTCCCAGCCCTGCCCAGCTTCCTCGCTCTGTGGACCACCTCCCCCCGAGGACCCCGGAGAGGGGGCTTGGAGCACACAATTTCTGATCTCCTCCACGAGGGCAAGGACTGCTCAAGGCAGTGGCTGCACCTAAGCTCTGCCCAGTGGTGCCCAGGGAGGTCAGCGAGCAAAGGGCTTTTGGTTGCCCTGTCAGCCTGTGAAGCCCCGTGAGTCGGGAGCTCAGCCTGGCTGCACCAGGCATAAGCTGGCACTCCTGAGCTTCGTGTAAACACCGGGTCCGCGTTACTGAGTGCTTAAGGGAGATGTCCCAGGCTTGGGCGCGGCCAGCACTTGACCCCTGTGCCTCAGTCTCTTCCTCTGTAGGAAGGGGATAACAACTCATTCCTTCTAGGGCCCTCATAAGGATTCAGGGGTTTAAAAACCCTTGGGGCACCTCCCCCGCATGTGGCTGCAGTGCTGCCGGTGGCGCCCACCCATCCCCTCACTGGGCTTCTGTCTGGCATTTCTGCCTGGGGCTTCTGTGCCTCTGCTCTTGCTAAAAGCCCCTTCAACTTTCTAAAGCATGCAGGACAGGAATAACATGATTGTTTTGTAGACAAGATGTTAAGGATGAAGCACGCTGGAGTCCCCTCCTCAGGACACCCTCCAGCCACTGCCTGGGCTCTGAGAGACTGGGGTGCTCTCCTACCGTGGGTGGGGTCCTTGAAAGCGTCCAGCGTGCTCAGCAAAATCTTCCCCAGGGCTCTTTTCGATATGTTCTTAAAAAGAAATGGAGACAGGGCTGGATCAGACTGGTTGCTGTGTCCCTGTTCAGCCGATGGGAACTGGTGTCTCCTAGGGGCTTCTGGGCAGCTCCCTGGGGACAGATCAAGCCCCTCCCCAACCCTCATCCCTTCCTGGCCCCCTACCCCTAGGCTGCCCACCCTGTGTTTCCCAGAGACTCTTGGAGGGTAAGTGGGGCAGTGGGCAGGATGCATGCCATCAAAGATCACGTACCTAAGGATTACCATCTGTGCCCAGGTAGACACTGGGAAATAACCCTAAGAGCATTTTTATGCATTTGCTCATTTGATCTTTGCAACAACATATTTTATTATGCCCATTTTAACCAGCAGAAAAAAGCAATGCTGGGAAAGAAAGCGAAATTTGCCAAAGGCACCCAGCTGGGAGGTGGAGGGGCCGCATCATCTATCCTGAGGCTGCATGGCCCATGGCCTCTGCTGGGAACCACTGCCCTTGCCTGCCTGGGCTAGGACTGGCCTCTCGGGGCCCATCCCCAGGTCTCTGCTTGCCCAGGATATGGACACTGGGCTGGACCTCAGCAGCTCCGGGGCCCAGGCAGCCCGACGCACAGGGCACAGCCCACTTCAGAGCCCCACAGACCTGGGTCTTCCTTTCTTTCTAATCCTTATAGCCTTTCCCTTTCATTTTGCTGCATTGGATGGAACCTCTGCTTCGCATAAAAACAGTGATGACAGGCATTCTTGTCTTGAGTCTGATTTTAATTTTAATTTAATTTAATGATTTTTTTGAGGTAAGGTCTTACTCTGTCACCCAAGCTGGAGTGCAGCGGCACAATCTCAGCTCACTTCAACTTTTGCCTCCTGGACTTCAGCAATCCTCCCACCTCAGCCTCCCAAGTAGCTGGGACCACAGGCACACACCACCATGCCCAGCAAATTTTTTTTTTTTTTGTAGAGATGGGAGATGGGGGTTTCACCATATTGGCCAGGCTGGCCTCAAACTCCTGAGCTCAAGCCATCCACCCACCTTGGCCTCCCAAAGTGCTGGGATTACAGGCATGCGCCACCACGCCCAGCCACATCTGATTTTAGGGGGATTCCTCTGAACATGTCACCAGTCAGTGTGAGATCTGCATGAAGTATTTGGTTGAGAGCCCTTATCTGGTGAAGGAAGAGCTCTACTATTCTTAATTTGCTGAGGAGTTTTATAATCAAAGGAGATTGAATTTTATTGACTTCCTTTTCTGCATCAATTGAGATGATCATCTGGTCTTTCTCCTTTAATCTGCAATGTGGTATATTTTGGTAATAGATTTTTTGATGTGGTATCATCCTTGAATTTCTAGGATAAGTCCAACTTGGTCATGTTGCATTTCTTTAAACACTGCCAGATTTGGTTTGCTAGTATTGTGTTTAATAATTTTGCGTCCATGTTTAAATGTCACGTTAGTTTATAATTTTCCTTTCTTGTCTTTCTTCTATTTATCCTCTTCTGGTTTTGAGAACAGAACCAGAAAATGATACATACAAGAGTTTTATTAGCTTCTTAAAATGACCTGGGGAGACCCCCAACCCTATTTTTGGTTGGTTCCTCTGAGCCTCCATTTCTGCATCTGTAAAATGGGGTAACAGCTGCCTACTGTGAGGAGAGCCTAGAGCCTGGTGCCTGACACAGGTGGGGCTCCCTCCAAGAGCTCCTTTCCCTTCCCTGAGTGTGGCAGCTCCCGTGAGCCTACCAGGTCCCGGAGCCTCTGCAGGAGCTGCAGCACGTCCACCAGCTTCTCCTCCAGCAGGGACAGCCGCACCCTCTCAGTCTCCACCATCTGCAGCTCCAGCCTCAGGTGCTCATTCTCTTCCACCTTCTGCTGCAACTCTGCCTGGGGAGAGAAGGGGGCTCAGTGCTTACCTTGCTGGCCTCCCCCAGCCTTCCAGGTGACCGGATCAACTACTCCATCTCCCCAAGGCTGGTGCTGAGGCCCAGAGAAGCTGAGTGTGTGGCCTAGAGCCACACAGCGGGTTGGACTGATGTAAAAATTGTGTATTTTGTTTCCTACTCTAAGGACTCCATTCTCCCTTCGCTTCTCTGGTTTTGTTGTATTTCATTTTATTTTATTTTATTTATTTATTTATTTTATTTTTTTGAGACGGAGTCTCGCTCTGTCACCCAGGCTGGAGTGCAGTGGCCGGATCTCAGCTCACTACAAGCTCCGCCTCCTGGGTTTACGCCATTCTCCTGCCTCAGCCTCCCCAGTAGCTGGGACTACAGGCGCCCACCACCACGCCCGGCTAGTTTTTTGTATTTTTTAGTACAGACGGGGTTTCACCGGGTTAGCCAGGATGGTCTCGATCTCCTGACCTCGTGATCCGCCCGTCTCAGCCTCCCAAAGTGCTGGGATTACAGGCTTGAGCCACCGCGCCCGGCCTTTTATTTTATTTTATTTTTAACAAATTAAGTTTGGTGGGAAGCAGCAGAAACCAATCTGGCTAGCTTACACAGAGAGGAAATTTACAGCAGGCTAGTGGGCAGATCCCAGAATGGACTGGCAGCTGGAGAACCTCAGGAATGGGACAGGGTTGAGACAGTGGGAGTGTCCCAAGCCTCTTATCCAAGAGCCACAGCTGAGAAGGACCCTCTCCAGCCATCCCCATCCCACAGCATGGAGAGTCCCAGGAGAGGGGCCTGGTTGGCCCACTCTGAGTTATGGGCCCACTCTTGGCCAGGGAGCCACCGAAACCATCAGTCGTACCCAGTAACACTAGGATGCCAGGCAGTCACAAAGTGCTTTGTGGCCCCTGCCTTCTAAAGCAAGCATGCCAGGCACGAGGCAGTCCCTTCCCCGGCACCAATGGAGGGAAAGAGAAGCAGTGGAAAATGTGGTGTCCAAGGGCGCTCAGGGTCCACTCTGGGCTTGGGCAGGAGGTGGGAAGGCCCAGTGCCTCTGCTCTCTAGGGATGAGACTGGAAGGCCGGCTAATTTTAGGATCCTCCAAGCCCTGTTTCCTTGAAATGTTCTTAGAAAAGGAGTGGCTATGCCCTTCAGAACTCTGTGACTGCCAGTTTATTTCCTGATGGCCCACAGTACTGCACCCTCCCCAGCCACAAGGGCTACGACTTTCCTGAGGGGTGCCTGGGCAGGCAAGATCAAGGCCTCTAGGAAACCAGAGCGGTGGTGGAGAAAATGTAGAAACAACTTTCAACTTAGGAGACCTGCACAACACAAAAGAGTGCTAGAAACAGGGACAGCTGTGGCGCATGTTTGCTGAGCACTCACCACAAGTGTTCACCTGTTTGATACATGCAGTATAGTACCATTATTATGCCCATTTCACAGGTGAGGAAACCGAGGCACAGAAAAGTTGAGTAACTTTTCCAAGGTCACATAGGAAATGGAGTCAGGATTTGAATCCCGGCAGCCTGGCTCCAGCACATAACCGCCATGCTGTGCTACTTGGTGTTAGCAGCCTTCTCTGGGGAGTAAGTGAGGGATGCCCCTATCCCGGTGCAGGGATTCCACAAGCTGGAGGTGGTGCAGACCCGATCGCACTGGAAGGTTTAGCTGCAGCCACACCAGCTTGCCCTGTAATGACATTCGACTTTGTTTCCTTTTGCACATTTCAGCAGAATATTTGCATAGTCCTGGGTCTTTGTCCAATCTACTGCAGCACTCCAAGGCCTGCTACCTTCTGTCTTGGTCTCTGATTTCACGCACTAAGAGGCTGGAGCCCAAACAGGCCCCTCTGCTCCCTCCTGCCCCCAGTGACTCAACCCCTGGCCTCAGGGTGGACGGTGTGGCTGCCTTGGTTCAAGGGGGGCACACTGGCGTGGATGAGGCATGGGCTCCCAGCCCAGCCCATCTGACCTCTCTCAACCCGTTTCCTACCTCACTGGACTCCTTGAACATAAAGTAAGACAAAGCACATCAGCACCGAGCGTGTGGTTCATGGGTCGTACAAGTCAGCTGGTATCATTTTTAAAAAGTTATTTAAGGAACTAGGACTTCATCAGGCCATGCATAAGTAAAAAGCAGTACAGACTTAGAATTTCAAATGTATAAATATAAAACTATGTCAAAACCAGTACGTAAAAGCACAGTGGGCAACAGCTTAGTGAAATGACAGCTTTCAGCATCATTGCACACTTGGCTACTGTGGAATAGAGAAGTTCCTATAGAGTAGAGAGAATGAGAAATGCGAAATGGTCTTATTGAAATGGAGACAGCTGGATGCTCGGCCTCCCTCCCCATCTTCTTGCTACCACACTCCCTTTCTTTTGGGAAACTGCCCCTCCTCCACTTCATCTGACTTTGGTGGCGATGCCAATCACTGAATCCGCCCCACTACCACAGGGATTGGCCCAGGGACGGGCACATGAGTGAAGTGGCCAATCGGAGTTCCTCCCTGAGATTTCGTGTATTAGGAGTGAGACTCATTTTCCTCTGAGGGCTTCCCAGGTGGGCTGATGGAAGTCTAGGGCTGTTAATGGTCCTGCCTTCCCTTCCCCCATCATATGAAGTAAGCCCTTTTGAAGCAGGGGAAAGCGAGACCACCTCCTACAGAAAAACACAGCAGACAGATGGAGACAATCTGGTCTGAGTCCCTGGACCCAGCTGTGCCTGAAGTCCAGATCATCGTCTTCTCAGCTGCATGTTCCAATAAATTCCTGTTTTGCAATCAAGCTAATTTGAGGTGGGATCCTTTAATTTGCAACCAAAAGATTTCTTCTTAAATTTAAATCAGAGGAAATCACCTCCCTCTGGGCCTTGGTTTACTCATTTGGGAATGGGGCACGAGACTTGGCTGCAATCCCTCAGACCCTTCCAGCTGTGAGATCCTCTAGAATTGCTCCAGCCTTTGATCTCTGGGACCTGCTGACCTCCTCCCCAGAGGTCCCCAGGGTCCTCCCACCGCAGCCCTGAGTCCTCAGCTGCTCCACCAGCATGGCAACGCAGGCCTCCAACTCCCCCAGGGTGCAGGCATGGTCGGCACCGCCGAAGTGACCACAGTAAGTCATGAGCTTCTCCGCCGTCTGGTCATCACACCTGCAGCAAAGGAGAGGGCCCGCATTGCAGGGGCTGCTTCCCAGAGCCCACTCTGTCCAGCCTCGGAGAGGTGGTGCTGGTGTGGAGTCGACCTCCTAAAGCAAAGCCAGGCCACGGCACCTGCCTGCCCAGCACCCTCCCACAGCCCCCAACTCACTCTGAGGAAAAGCCAAAGGCTTCACCTGATCTGCTCCGTGAGCTCCCTGACCTTCCCTCCCACCCACCCACACTCATGCTGCTCCAGCCACAGTGGCCTCCTGGAGGTCCCTCCAACATGCCTCAGCGCCTCTGCACTTGCTCTTCCCTCTTCCTGGAATGCTCTTCCCCCAGCATCTGCATTGCTTATTCCCTCGTTTCCTTCAGGGCTCTGCTGAGAGAGGCATTCCCTGCATCTCCCTGCCCCGCCTCTGTCCCTGCCCCTGTGTGACCCCTCTTCCTCACGCCTGTCACACTCACTAGAGGATCCAAAAGAGGAGGCCACTGTCTGGTTTTCTGCAATTTTCCCTGTCTCTCAGATTTTGCCTGGCAAGTAGTAGCTGCTTCATAAGTGCTTGCTGTTGACATGAAGAATTGGTGGTAACAACAACTCCAGAAAATCAACAGCATTTTACCATACAATAATAACTGTTGCCCCCACCAGCGTTCCCACCTCCTGTGCACCAGGCACCTGTTAGGCATTGTATATCTTTGACCTCAAATCCTCACACAGCCTCTGCCACACAAGTGTCACCATCCCATCTTAGAGACGAGAAGACTGAGGTTCGGAGAAGCCAGGTGATTTGTCTGAGGTGTCCCAGGTGTCCTGGGCCCGTCCTCGGTCCCCATGAAGGTGGAGGTGAGGATGAAACAGGGAGCCAGCACCGGCCTGGGGCCAGGCTGGAGAGCTGTGAAAATGGTGTGTGGCAAGGGGTGATGGGTTGGGAAGGGGTCTGAGAGGGACACTGGTGTCTGGGAGTGCCACAAGAGCTCCAGTGCAGGTGCTGGTGAGAAGGCACGAATGGGAATTCAAGCCAGCCACGAGCTGTACCCTGGAAGGTCATCCCACTTCATCCTCTACATACTGGTGGGCTTTCCCACCTCCCCCTGAGGGACAAGGGGACAGAGCCGCAGAGGGGCTGGGAGGTGGCTGAGCTAGGCTAACCAGCCTCCCGGGTGCTCCTGGCTTCCCTGGCCACCTCTGAGTGTGAGAGCCTGAGGCCCACAGTGGCTGACCCTAGACGGGTCACACACCTGCCTCTGCAGCTGGAGAGCCGGGCCAGCAGTGTCTTGGCCTCAGCTGCCGGCATCTTCTGCTCCTCCCGCCACTTCTCCTCCTCCTCCTCCTCCTTGTCAGAGGCGGCCTGGCCCTCCACGGATCGGAACAGCTGCTCGTCCACTGCTGGGGAAGCACAGGATGTGGGGATGCAGGACAAAGGGTGGGGAACCAGGCATCCCTCCCCAGGTGGCAGCCCGAGGGGAGGGCTCTTGTGCCATGTCCCGTCTTGAGATAGCCACCCCCCACGTCCCAGGCTCCTGTGTGGTAAGGCCACCAAGGCTGGTTCTGTCTCCCTGTAATGTGACCAGCCCGAGTGAAGCTGGCCAGTCAGAGCCCCTTCCTGGGACTTTACACAGGGACATGGGGAGAAATGTTCTTTTTCTTCTCTTTCTTTTTTTTTTTTTTTTTTTAAAGAGACAGAGTCTTGCTCTGTCACCCAGGCTGGAGTACAGTGGTGTGATGATAGCTCACTGCAGCCTCAAACTCCTGGGCTCAAGTGATCCTCCTGTCTCAGCCTCCCAAAATGTTGGGATTACAGGCATGAACCACTGTGCCTGACTTCTTCCCTGTTTTCTAAGATGACACAAGCCAGGCCCTGTCTGTGGTCTCAGAGATAAGTGTTATTTCCATTTTAGGCTGTGGCAACCCCAGTCAGGAAAGGCCAAGCCAGTCTCTTAGGAGCTGGGGTGGGTTCCTCAAGGTACGGGCACCAGGATGGACAGATTTTCAATGCTCAGGGAACTGCAGGCATCTAATGTTTGGAGTAATGTGGAGGAAGGGGGTGTGACGCATGTGACTGTCTGTGGTCCCCAGTGTTGCTTGGCCTTGACGGTGGGCTCCTGCCTGCAGCAGCATCAGGAAGCCCGGGGGTCTGTGTGGCCCCCTGGTGTTCTGCTGCCCAACCTCAGTCCCCATCCCTGTCCCCAGGGGAGTCCCACTTCCTCCTCTTCCTCTCCACCCAGCTCCAGGGGCACTTGAGTCAGGCCCAGCCAGGCTGAGTGCAGCCTCCTCTGCGACTAGTTCAGGAAGGGCAAGGGACCCTGTGGGAGCCACTGGAGTTAGCCCAAGACTTGGACTCAAAACTTGCAGGGAAGAGAAATGCCCTCCATGCTTCTGGCCTGGGAGTTGAGAGGACCGGGCCTGGAGCCGCTGGTGACCATCTTGCCACTATGAGGGGAGTGCCTCCTGTGAAATGAATCGCTGTAGAGCAACGCAGGGCCAGGCGTCGAGACAGCGGCGCTGCTGACATTTCAGCTGTGCCTGAAGCTTGCGTGGACTTTGAAGCTACGTGAACCAATACATTCTCTTTTAACTTAAGCCGGTTTGGGCTGAATGATCTGACACTGGGAGACAAACGATGTCCTAACCGATACAGCTGTTTAAAAACAAAACCAGGCTTATGACCTCACCCCCACCGCCCCAGAGAATCACATGCAGAGATTCGGGGTGCGCCTGGGCATCTATGTTTTTCTTTCTTTTTTTCTTTTTTTTGGGGGGGTAGGGCAGGGCCCCACTCTGTCACCTAGGCTGGAGTGCAGTGGCACAATCTCGGCTCACTGCAGCCTCGACCTCCCAGACTCAAGTGATCCTCCTGCCTCAGTGCCCACAAGTAGCTGGGATTATAGGCACGTGCCACCACACTGGGCTAATCTGTTTGTATTTTGGGTAGAGCCAGCTTTTGCCATGTTGCCAGGCTGGTCTCAAACCCCTGAACTCAAGTGATCTACCCGTCTCAGCCCCCCAAAGCGCTGGGATTACAGGTGTGAGCTACCACATCCAGCCTGCATCCATGCTTTTAAAGGTGACCCTGGCCACCTGGCAAGTTTGGGAACGTCTCGAGGTATCCTGACCTCCTGATGGCTCTAAACCCCCCAGATTCTCCAGGCCTAGGTTCTTAGGATGATGGGGCTGGGGGAAAGGGCCCCAGCCCAGCCTGAGCAGCTGGTGGGAGTGGGCTCTGTTTGGAGGCTGGTGGTAGCATGGACGCAGACAGACCCCTGAGAGCAGGGCTGACACAGCCTGAGGGACTATGAACCTGGCAGGAAGACTGGGCGCACGGGTAGCATGGATGCAGACAGGACCCTGAGAACAGGGCTGAACATAGCTGGAGGGACCGTGAGCCTGGCAGGAAGACTGGGCACACAGGGACAAACCTTCATCCAGGGCTCTGCTTCCGGAGCTGCTGTCTGACTGCCAGGCTCCCTCTGGAGTGGGGTCTGGGTCTCTGGTCCCAGCATCTTCAGGTTCATTACTCTTGTCTCCTGGCTCTGGGCTGGCTAACTGTGGGGTTGGGAGCTGGGAGTCCTCTGACCTGCAGTGGTGGGAGAGACACGGGCATTGAGGAGGAGAGTACAGGACTCTTCATTCCCCGCTGTACATGGGCAAGCTGTCTATCAACAGCCATTGTCACCCTGGCAGAGTCAGCTTCCCACAGTCCAGGAGGAAGTGCTAGATACTGGGATTCCCAGCATCCCTTGCAGCTAGGGCACATGCATGGAACCCAGTTTTAGCCAATGGGACTCAAGGCAAAATCTTCTGGAACAGATTTTCATCCTTATAAAAAAAAAACTCTACGAAAGGAAATGCCCCTTCCTTCCTGCCTTTAGACATTGTCATACGAGAATGTGATGTTTGGAGCTGCAGCAGCTGTCTCGTGACATGAAAAAATGTCTGAGAGAATTACTGAGTTGTTGAACAAAAGCCCTTATGTCTTTTAGCTGTTGACTTCACCAGCCCTAGGGCCACCCATCTCTGGACTTCTTGTTGTAGGGGAATTAAAAAATTTTTTTTCATTGTTTCAGCTACTTTTTTTTCTTTCTTTCTTTTTTTTTTTTTAAGAGATAGGGTCTCTCTGTCACCCAGGCTGGAGTGCTGTGGCATGATCTTGGCTCACTGTAGCCTAGACCTCCCAGGCTCAAGCGATCCTCCCACCTCAGCCCCACAATTAGCCCTGGGAACTACAGGTATGCCACCACCACAACCAGCTAATTTTTTTTTGGTGGTTGTGTTGGAGACAGGTTCGCCATGTTGCCCTATGCTGGGGTCTCGAATTTCCCCTTGAAGCTCAAGGCAATTCTGCCTGGCCCTGGCCTCCCCTGAAGGGTGGGTTTGGGATTATGCCCCATAGCCCACCTGCACCTAGCCTACCAACCTTTTTTTTTTTTTTTTTTTTAAGTAATGACAGAATCGTGTAATCCTAGCAACTTTGAAGGCCAGTGTGGGGTGATGACCGAGGTCAGGAGTAGACCAGCCCTGTCCACTATGGTGAAACCCTGTCTCCACTAAAAAATTAATTATAAAAATTAGCCAGGTGTGGTGGCAACACGCCTTGTAATTCCAAGCTAACTGGGAAGGCTGAGCCAAGGCAAAAAAGAATCAACTTGAACCTGGAAGCCAGGAGGCGGAGGTTGCAGTGAGCTGAGATCCACCACTGCACTCCAGCCTGGGCAACAGAGTCAGACTCTGTCTCGGAAAACAAAAACAAAAAACAAAAAAGAGACAGAATCTTACTGTGTTGCCCAGGCTGTTCTCAAACTCCTGGTCTTAAGAGATCCTGCAGTGCCTTGGCCTCCAAAAGCACTGGGATTTTGCTTGTGAGCCACCACACCCAACTAGTTTAAATTGCATTTCTATTCCTTGTCCCCGAAAGCCTTTAATTGAAACATCTCCCTTCTCTGGGCTTTGGGAAACCTACATTACACCCCACCAATCACTTTTCTTGATATTTTAAGGGTCTGACCTTTTGAATATTCATTTTCCATGTCCCTGCAGTTACAAGATAGGGGAAGAAAGAAAAATCTGTCATAACATGAAAATATTCACTAATAAAAGGGCCACTTATTAAACTGGCCACTTTATACTAGCATCTGTCCCACACCCATCTCATCATAACAACCCGATAGAACCCAATATGAAGCAAAACCACATCTTGGAAAAGGGGAGGCCGAGTGGTGTTGGTCAGGGGGACATGGGAGAACTTGAATCGCAGGCAGAGCCACTGATGCGGGGCTGTGGCAGGGCTGGACTGGATTACAACCAAGGAAGAGAAAACCAGCAGGATAAGCACCAGCCAGGAGCATCAGGAGAGTGCTCTGCTGCACGAAGAAAACCTTTAGAAAAGCCAACAAGGCTGAGCGCAGTGGCTCACGCCTGTAATCCTAGCACTTTGGGAGGCCGAGGCTGGTGGATCACGAGGTCAAGAGATCGAGACCAGCCTGGCCAACATGGTGAAACCCCGTCTCTACTAAAAATACAAAAATTAGCTGGGCGTGGTGGTACGTGCCTGTAATCCCAGCTACTCAGGAGGCCGAGGCAGGAGAATCACTTGAACCCAGGAGGTGGAGGTTGTAGTGAGCTGAGATCACGCCATTACACTCCAGCCTCACAACAGAGCAAGACTCTGTCTCAAAAGAAAAGAAAAAAAAGAAAGAAAGAAAGAAAGAAAGTCAACAAAGCCCTGAGATATTTTTGCAAAAGTGACCCTCCTCATGATAAAGCTGCAAAAAGAAAACCTCCAGAAACAAAAAAAACAAAAACCATAAAGGTAAGGGTGCACCATTGTGTTCTTACAGAGTGTTATTGGAAAAATTACTCCAAAAGGAATAATCAGTCCTAAATCATTCTGTGTTTGGTCTAAGAATGAGAGCACTGTACTGCAGTCATAGAGATTATTTTTAAAGAATGAAATGACTAGACTAGGCACGGTGGTTCACACCTGTAATCCCATCACTTTGGGAGGCCGAGGCGGGTGGATCACTTGAGGTCAGGAGTTAGAGAGCAGCCTGGCCAACATGGTGAAACCACATCTCTACTAAAAACACAAAAATTAGCCGGGTGTGGTGGTGGGCGCCTGTAATCCCAGCTACTCAGGAGGCTGTGGCAGGGGAATTGCTTGAACCTAGGAGGCGCAGGTTGCCGTAAGCTAGATCGCACCACTGCACTGCAGCCTGGGTGACAAGGTGAGGCTCCATCTCAAAAAAAAAAAAAAAAAAGAATGAAATGGCTGAAAATATTACCTGGTTTTATTAAATAGTATGATAACTCATTTTCATACATTGTAGCTTTATTTTTCAATCTCCAAAGAGTCCCCATTTTATTTTTATTTGTATTATTTATTGAGACTGAGTCTTGCTCTGTCACTCAGGCTGGAGTGCAGTGGCGTGATCTCGGCTCACTGCAAGCTCCGCCTCCCGGGTTCACGCCATTCTCCCGCCTCAGCCTCCCAAGTAGCTGAGACAACAGGCGCCCGCCACCATGCCAGGCTAATTTTTGTATTTTTAGTAGAGTCGAGGTTTCCATGTTGGAACTCCTGACCTCAGGTGATCCGGCCCGCCTCGGCCTCAGAAAGTGCTGAGATTACAGGCGTGGACCACTGCGCCCGACCCAAGAGTCCCCATTTTATATGGACTCGCTGAGTGGACTTCCCACGACCAAATATTATTGGAGCACAAAGACCCCCTTCTCGGGAGGTGCTGTTCGGAGCCATGGCCCCTTGCTGGGCCTCTCACTGCGCAGGTGGAAGCCCTGCAGCACCCAGGAGGGGCAGGCAGGGAGCCTCCCGCGGCTGATCCGCGTGACCGGGGTGAGGCCCCGCGGAGAGTCCGGGCAAGTGAGGGGCGCGGGCTTCCGGCCGGGGCTCCGTCAGGTGGACTCGGCACTTGGAGGGCCCGCTAGCCCACGGGCGCCGGGGCCGCCCTGCAGCGCCTCCCGGTGGCCAACTCCTCGCCGGCACCTCGGCGGCGAGCACCGCCCCCGCCCGCGGGGCCTCCCCGTGCTTATCAGCATAACCCCACCCTGGCCACCGTGAGTGGCCCAGGGCTGCACGGGGAGCCAATGAAACACAAGGAGCGTCTGCAGGCGTTTCCGGGCCTCAGTGGCGTCCTCTCCCGCAGACCCCCTTCTCTGCCTGCCTGAGGAGGACTCGGAGTATGATGACCGACGAGGCGGGAAGTTGTGACTCTGAGGGGACCGTCCAGAGATTCTGGGGGCTGCAGATAGAGCCCAAAGATGACGGCCAAAGAAACAGGGCTCTTAGTAACATCAGCTGAGCTGCTGGGTCAGGCTTTGTGTAAAGCCAGGGCTAACCCTGAAATTTCGGGTTTTTTGAGCCCATGACTCTGATTCATAAAATCCTGCATTCAGCGTCCCCCAGTGCAAGCTGAGAACGGGCATGTTGCTTAGCAGCAACCAATGTGAAAACCCCCTGGTGGGGATTCTTGCTTCAGTGTGAGACCGCGTGACTACAGCTTAGGTCATAATAGCTGAGATCTCAGTGGGGAGGTGCCAGAATCTCCCTACTCCACAGGCTCCAGCCTGGAGAAGAAAAGACACAAGGGAATAAGGTCACTGTCTCCAAGACACAAGGATAGAGGCAAGTACCTGGTTATATGGCCCCATAGGGAGGTGTTTAACTGGGGTGAGACAGCAAAGATGGGAGTTGGGGAATCAAAGGGAGGTGATTTTAGCTCACTGGGAGGAACAACTTTCTCGCAGGAACTGCTGATGAAGAATGATGATGATGTGCTGTGGAACGCAGTGAGCTTCTTGGCAGAGGAGGTATGTCAGCAGGTAAGGGACTTCAGCGGCTGGAATTGTGAATACAGTTGGAGGTTGAATTAGACATACTGAAATCCCACTATGAGATGCTGCTGCTTCTTCTATTCCCTAAATCATTTAAGGGTTTCAACAAGCAAAATGAGATAGAGGGACAGCTCTTACCAAGGGGCCTGTTTAAACATTTCCTGACACAGGCTGCCTGGGGTGGACTGGATCCCCACACTCCACCTCCTAGCACTTGCATGTGTCTTAGAAAGCCTGCTCCAGGCACAGCTTCCTGCACGGACAGCAACGACAATACCAACGAAACCCTTCAGTGTTCTGAAAGCCACTCTCAATACTTCAAACATCTTCCTCACAAAAACCCTGTGACACAGGTAAGGTCATCATCTCCATTTACAGAGGAGGAAACCAAAGCACCAAGAGCTGGAGGAAGCTGTGGAGGAAGAAGTGGAGGAAGCCGCACCGTGCGAGAGGCGGGGTCTGCACTCAGGCAGACGGCTGCAGGCCCGCATGCCAGGCATAAGGGAAGCTTGGAAGGCACACTCTGGAATGACCCGGCCCAGCTGCCGTCGTCAGTGGGTGACTCCAGGTCACAGGCAGTGAAGCTGGGAAGAGAACAGAGCCATCTGGAGAGCAGGACAGATGAGGACACTCTTTGGAATTTTCCAAGAAGTAAAATGTGGCTGCAGAGAAATGGAACAAGTGCTTCCTCAGGGAGCCCTGGGGCGTGCTACTGTTGTCTAGTGAACGGTATTCAACTGCTTCTCCCATTGCCCCTCTCTCTGCTGGATTATTCAGCAGGATCAGCCATCCCCCATCACACTCACATGCTATAATAGCTCCACCTTCAAACAAGCAAATACACAAAACACCCTCTGACCATATGACTTTCCCAGCTACCACCCTTACTCTGCCCTACTTGACAGAAAACTTGAAAGCACTGTGCCTACTGTACACGCTGCCCCAATCATGTCTTGGTCCCCATCACATCACCCACAGCGCTAGGCTGCCAAGCCCAGTGGCCGGTTCTCAGCACCCATTTGACTTGGCCTAAGAACAAAGGATTGGACACCAGATTCCTTCCTCGCTTACACAATCTTCCCATGGCTTCCAGGAGACTGCTCTCCTCTGGGATTCCTCCTGCCTCCCTGGCACTCCTTGCCTTTTTGCCAATTTCTCCTCTCCATCCCGACCCCTAATGCCGGTGAGTCCTGGGACGCCCTCTGAGGACCTCTTCTCTCCTCAATGTGCACTCACTCTAGGGGAGGGGTCTCAGCCAGCGCCATGGCTTTGTGTGCCCATGACTTCCAACTTCTTATCTCCACTTCTGGCCTCCCTCCTGAACCTCGGGCTCAGATCCAGTTCCTGAGAAGCGCCCCAACTTAACTGTGGCACCTCTATTTGGGTGTCCCACAGGCTTCTCACAGCCTCTCATGCCACCTGAACTTGTCCTGGTCTTCCTCCATCTGCTCCTTCCTCCCTCGGTGAAGTGTGCCATCACCCACTTGACCGCCCAAAGAGTGGCCACTGGGTTTGGCCACCTGGAGGTCATGCGCAGCTACTCAGCATCTGGCCAACCACTCAGTTCCACCCCAGCGCCCAACCCAAGGATGCCACAGGGAGGGTGCTTGGTAAAGTGCTGTTGTATTGTGTGGCACCTCCTATGTCCAGGTCTGTGCAGGTTGGCAGGGGAGGTAGAGGGGCAGGAGGGGAGAAGGACTGCAAGTCCCCACCCTCCGTGGGCTGCTCCTCTGGGTGGAGCACCAGGAGGTCAGGCAGGGGATGCAGACACAGCCCTCCCTCCAGGGCGTGTCCACTGGCCTCGGGCCACTCCCTCTACAGACAAGCAGGGCGTTGAGTCCGGAGAGAGCAGGGGAGGTATCCTGCAGGAAGCAAGACCTGGGGTTGAGCAGAATTAGTACTAGGTGGAGGAAGATAGGCAGCGGGTATGTTTGGGGACAGAAAAGAGTACAGCACAGCTAGAGAAGAGGACCCAGAGCAGACAGGAATGGGCGGAGAAAGGAGGCAGAGAGGGCTGAGTGGCCTGGCAGGGCACCCCTCCTCTAGCTGGGGCTGTGTGTGCTGTTGGAGTAACGCTCACCCCCTGGTTGATATCTTTCAGAGGAGGAAGTGGTTAGGTTACCAGGTGGTTGGGGTGAGTGGGGATTTGAACCCGACTCTGCCACCTCCAGACCTTGACCTCATTCCCTTGTCCACGCTGCATTTTACCCGCTGGCACCAGACACAGACCTTAAAAAATCACACCTTTATTTATCTTATAGATGATGGAAGCCAGTGGGGGTTGAACCATATGGAATAGTGATTTTTACCGCTTTTGACCTGCAAAAGGGCAATTTAAAATGGGGCAATCTTGGCTCACGCTGTAATCTCAGCACTTTGGGAGGCCAAGGTGGATAGATCACCTGAGGTCAGAAGTTCGAGACCAGCCTGACCAACATGGTGAAACCCCATCTCTACTAAAAATACAAAATTAGCCAGGTGTGGTGGCGCATGCCTGTAATCCAGCTACTTGGGAAGCTGAGGCAGGAGAATCACTTGAGCCTGGGAGGCAGAGGTTGCAGTGAGCCGAGATGACACCATTGTACTCCAGCCTGGGCAACAGAGCAAGACTCCATCTCATAAATAAATAAATAAATAAATGCTGCAATCTGATAGAACATGTTCACAAAATGTTGCTTGGTGGACTGACTTCAAATCTGTCACTTCATTAGTGGGTGTCCAGGTTTGTGAAAAGTTTTGTTAGAATTTTCTGGTTCTAGAAACCTGACAGCCTTTGGCCCTGAGACTGGACCACAGGGCCCAGGGGTTTAGCGTGGGTTTCATGTGAGGGTGTGCTCTCTGCTTATGCACTGTTGGTGGGACTGTAAATTAGTCCAACCATTGTGGGAAGCAGTGTGGCAACTCCTCAAAGAGCCAATAGCAATCCCATTCCTGGGCATATTCCCAGAGGAATACAGATCATTCTACCATGAAGACACGTGCATGCAAATGTTCATTACAGCACTATCCACAACAGCAAAGACATGGAGTCAACCCAGTGCCCATCAATGACAGAGTGGATAAGAAAATATGGTGTATATACACTATACTATGTAGCCATAAAAAACAAGAAGATCATGTCTTTTGTGGGAACACGAATGGAGCTGGAATCTACTATCCTTAACAAACTAACACAGGAACCAAATGCCACATATTCTCCCTTATTAGTGGGAGCTGAATGAAGAGAACACATGGACACAAAGAAGAGAACCCCAGTGTCTGGGGCATACTGGAGGGTAGAGGGTATGAGGAGGGAGAGGAGCCGAAAAAAAAAACCATTGGGTAATAGGCATAATACCTGGGTGATGAAATAATCTGCACAACAAACCCCTAGTGACATGAGTTTACCTATATAACAAACCTGTACATGTACCCCTAATTCTAAAAAGTTAAAAGAGATCAAAACAAAAATAATGCTATACAAATTCTAATAGTAATAATAATAGTAATGATAATAATAATAATTAAAATAATCTGCTCCCCGGAGTTGGCTCTGGGAGACGGTGGCACTGCCTTTGGTGTTTCTTGGCTCAGCTGACTGAGGACAGAGTTGCTGGTGGCCTCGCTGGGTGGCCTGAATGCTATGGCCCCATCCTCTCTGTCACACTCAGTGGCTGGGAGCTCCTGCTCCTGACTTGCAGGTCCAGCATCCTGACCCCCAGCTCTAAGGTCACCAAGCTGCCCCCTGCCCCTGCAACATGCTGTCTGTCTTTACTCTCTGGATCCAGCAGCAGCCCACGACCATGTGTCGTCATGGCCATTTCCTTGAACACAGCTCTGACACACCTAGCCCCGGAGCCTACTGTGGCTTCCCAGAGAGGTCCAGATCCCTAATATCCCAGCCCACCACAAGGAGTTTCTGAAGTTACAATGCAAAATTCATTTGGAAGAACATATTTTGTTCAGGTGGGCCCTATGGATGGAAAAATGTCCCCTTGCCCCGCTTCCCACCTCAGTTCCACCCCTCCAGTCCCCACTCCACTCTGGCTGCTGAAAGGATCAAAGGTCAGCTTTTAAAATGCTTCTGTGGCTCCATATGGACAACAGAAGTAACTTGAGTGTCAGGCTGGGTGCAGTGGCTCATACCTGTAATCCCAGCATTTTGGGAGTCAGGTGAATCACTTGAGCTCAGGAGTGCGAGACCAGCCTGGGCAATATTGCAAAACCCCATCTCTACCAAAAATACAAAAATTAGCCAGGTGTGGTGGCCACATGCATGTGGTCCCAGCTACTCTGGAGGCTGAGGTGGGAGGATCACCTGGGCCTGGGAGGCAGAGGTGGCAGTGAACCAAGATCACACTATTGCACTCCAACATGACAGAATGAGACCCTGTCTCAAAAACAAACAAACAAACAAACAAACGTGTTCTTAGCACAGCATTGAGAGGCCTCCAAGATCTGACCCAGCCCAGCCCTCCAGTATCATTGCTGGCAATGACCCATGGGCAGCACAGCCAGACCCATTGAACTTCCTGTGCCTCACCCTTGAGGTCTTTGCACATGATAATAACCATAGCCAATGCCTCTATGGAGCTTATAGTGTGCTAGGTGCTGTCTTAAGTGTTTTTATGCAAACAAACTTGTCAAACGACCACATTCTGAACCCACACAGATTCCTCTGCCTGAAAGGTACACACCCCAGCTCCAGCAAGTAGAGCCCAGAAAATCGTCCTGGTTCTTCATTCTCCCACCCCAACAAAAATGTCACTTTCTCAGAACTCACCTCTCCCTCTGCTATGGTTTGAATGTGTCCCCCAAAGTTCACGTGTTGGAAACTTAATCCCCAATGCAACAGTGTAGAGAGGTGGGGCCTTGAAGAGGTGATCAGGCCATGAGAGCTCTGCCCTCACGAGTGGATCCACACCATTACTGCAGGAGTGGGCTCCAGATACAGGAATGCATTTGTCTCCCTCTCTCCCTCTTTTGCTCTTCCACCTTCTTCCCTGGAATGATGCAGCAAGAAGCC